GGGTTTTCCGTCGCGCCACCTCGGTGTGAGGTTCGTAGATGTCGGTGGGGGAGAAGGAGCAGTGGGTGCGACGGTTCGTGAGGACGGGATGGCTCTGACGGCCGTGCCTGCCCTGGACCATCGCTGTGGCAGGCTGGAGCTGTGCGCATTACACCGTGGCCATCTGCGATGGCTCAGACTTGCCTTGCAACGACAGAGCACGTGAAGTTGGACTTGACAGTACCGTGGTGTTAGACCAAAGTAGCCAGGGGCTTTGGGCCCAGCACAAATAGGCGAGCAGGAGGGGCTGTGTTCTGTACTCTGTTCCAGCGCTCAGCAAATAAGACAGGGAATTTACTCTTCATTTACGGACTGAAGGTGGTGCCTTTGGGTGAAGGAAGCAATTCTGTGCAGTTTTTTGCATGCTTTTCTCTAAAAATTTTAAGTTAGTAAAGGTCACCCTATTTTACTATTGGATAAAAACCCAAATGAGCTTTTGCCTCTCCATTTGGGCTCAGCTCCTGTCCCCGACGATGGAAACATTTCACTTCCCACTGAAATGACTCTCACTGCAGTTGCACTTCAATACCAATGCAGTCTTTATGTGTGGGATGAGGGTCACGCACATACAGCCTGAACAGAGTCCAGGTAGATGCCCGATTCCAGTTAGTTTTCACTCTAAGGGAATTTGGATTTCTAAACTACCCAGAGCTGCATTAACGTAACCACCAGTTGAGCACTCGATTACTTTTCCGCTGGGTAGTCTGCTTTTTTCCAGAGTTGTTTGCTTGTGGTGTCCTTTCTGCTGCTCAGGGCACAGCCTAATGTGATGCTCTCTACACTAGCCAGCTCCATGCATGAGATCTCTGAGCTCTGCACCACCATGAGGGTTGAGAACTCAGCTGTGAAGCTCTCTGCTCTCCTTTCTTTTTACAGGACAGGACATAACCGTGAAAGAAGCCAGTGGAAAGGCGTTCCTGCAGTGTGGAACAGGCAGCCAAAGTCAAGTCACATGGCTGAAAGATGGGAATGTGATAGGAAATACAACGCAGCTGGACTTGGGTGCAATTTACGAAGATCCCAGAGGCATCTATGTATGTGAAACGGAGAGGGGAAAGAAGAGGTCCTACTTCCAGGTGTATTATCGAAGTAAGTGTTGCAAACCTGGTTTCTAGAGCCAGAACTGCCTGGAGTTCTCACCCAAGCAAATTTTTGAGGGGACTGCCAATTTCCCAGAGTTTGAGGGTGGTTCCACGTGTTTGCGGCAGTCCTGACAGCTCCTGTGCCAGGCTGGCCTTGGGAACAGCCGAGCTGCACGTTCCCCTGCATGCGGTGTCCCCGTGAGGGCTCTACAGCCTCGGTCAGTGCCATAGCCTGGCACTCACGCTGCCTCATTTCTAGCCGCTCGCTGGCCCTTCTGTGGCCTGCCCTGAGTGCTGGGGACACGTGGCACCTTGCACCACTGCCTTGGGTCATGCAGCAAGCCAGACCTAATCCCTGGTCTCTCACCCGGGGACTGGAGCCTGCCTGGGCTGGCAGGGCTGGCTGAGCGCTCTGGGCTCGGACTGACCCCGGCAGCAGGGTGGAGGTGGCCAAGGGGCGGGGGCATGGTCATGGCCCGGCTTTCGGCATCTGTGTCCTTTTGGGCTTCCAGTGTGCCAGAACTGCATCGAAGTGGACGCTCCCACCATCTCGGGGATCGTGGTTGCGGATGTTGTTGCCACCGTCTTCCTGGCAGTTGCTGTGTATTGTATCACTGGCCAGGACAAGGGACGCATGTCACGAGGTGAGGGGAGAGCCCTGCTGGCTGGTGGGAACGGAGGTGCCTGGGCATCTTTGGGAGCTGCGTGGTACCTAGGACTTTCCATTGTTGCCCACAGAGCCCACTCACTGCAAGCTGCAGGCAGCAGCTGGCACACAGCATGTCTAGGCTAGGGATCCGTGTGAGCACCCTGGGTACTCTTCCTGCCCCTAGCTCAGCTTCCCGGGAGGGGCTATCGAATGCATAAAGTTCACCAAAGCATCATCCCAGGGACACACCAGCTGTTGGCACAGGGACATCCAAGGCCATGCAGGGGCTTTCCACCGAGCCTCCAGAGGAAGTAAAAGCACAGGGCTGAAAGCAGCCAGCCACTTGGCCTTGTTTGCAGATGTTCACCACACTGCCCATGACTCTCCTGATCCTTGACCACCTGCTTTCTTCATTTAGCTTCTGACAGGCAGAACCTGATTGCCAACGAGCAGCTCTACCAGGTGAGCGTGGGCGTGCACATGTGCGTGTGGGTGTGCTGGGCTTCAGCACCTCTGCGCCGCATGGGGCTGCGTGGTGGGACCGGTGTGGCCATGGCGGCACAGCTGCTGGGGGGTGCTCGATGCCATGGGGCACTGGGCTGCGTTGGAGATGGCTCTCTGCTAGGGCATTCGCAGCCGCCTACCGCTGAGTGACCCAGAGGATGGGGAAAGCTCAGCTACGCCCTGCCTCTTACTCTCTGGTGGTGTTAAGCTCTGTGTGCGGGGAGGGAAAGCTTGCCAAACGCTTGGCAAAGGGAGGGCTGGGCCAGCTTCCACTGTACCCTCCCTCCCAGGTCTGGGCAGACACAGTTGTAGCTCATCTCGCCTTTTTATCCTCTTAGCCCCTTGGCGAGCGGGACGATGGACAGTACAGCCGGCTGACTCCTGCCAAGGCCCACAAATGAAGTGGGAAGATGCTGGAAGATCCTGACTCCTTCACACCGGGAATGATATTACAGCAAAGCCTCCACCAGTGCCCGAGAGCACCGGTACCCTGCCCTGCCACTGCCATTGTAAGCTGACTGCTGGCAGAAGACAGGGCGGGTTTTTGCCTGGACAGCCCTCCGGCTCCTTGCCAGGATAGGCTGCTTGTAGCACTCTGCTCTTTTCATGACCTCTTGCACTTCTGTATTCATCTTATTAAAGGTGAGCCTATCCCATAGCCTGCCTGCTCCGTCGGTTGTGTTGAGGCCTGGGGAGCTGCGCAGTCGCTAGGGAAGGTGAGCACTGGGTGCGATCTGCCTGGATCCCTGCAGAGCCATAAGGCTCCTGCCTATCCCGGTAGGACGTGGCTCTACCAGGGCAGGCAGATGCCCATGGCTCTGCCACTGTCTCCACTGGGATCTAAATGACAGCCCGGTCCATTGCTGAAGCTGAGGATGGGGGACCTTGTCAAGGGAAAGGTTTGCTGCCCCTGACCCTAGCAGAGGCTTTGTCTCGTTTAACTCCCCTTCCAGAATGGGGAGCGGGGACGCCAGGAGCACAGTGACCTTCAGCAGGGTCTGTGTCACCCCTGCAAAGTGCCTGCGTACCTCAGTCCCCTGGAAAGAGCTGGGGAGCTGGCAGGAGGGAGGACAGGATGACATTTCCTCTGCACATGCAGGGCTTAGCATCTAATCGCAGTCGCCTAATGGCAGCCAACCTGCAAGTTGCCGGAGTGCTTCAGGGAGTGAAGCGTGAGCAAAGATGCAAGCTCTGCGGGCTCCCCAGAAGAGCTCATGGGAGTTGGGACCAAAAAGGGAATGGAAACAGCAGAGGAGGTGAAAACTGCAGCAGTGACCGTGCAAAACTCATGGCAGCAGAGCTGGCCAGGCAGCGAAGGCCAGAGGCAGTCTGCACTCCCTGCACCTCGGAGGTTCTTGGGAGGCTCTCCCGCTCCCCCCTGCCTCTGCAGCCCACTGGAGAGTGACTCACCTTCGTGACCAGGCCAGGGACCTTCCACGGGGCATTTGGCAACCCCTTTTCCAGTCTCACCAGCCATCCCAGTGTGCTGAGTACAGGATGCAAACGAGTAAACTTTCAGAGCCTTTCCCAGCTCAAGCACATTTCCAGACACTGAGCGGCACTGGGTCTCCCCACACCAACCCAGCTCCTCCTGACAAGGTCCCCACTCCCCAGCTCTGAGCAGAAACAGCTCGTGTGGTCTGACTATGGCCAAAACGGGAGGCGGATAACAGACAGGATCAGTTAGCAGTTAGAAACCTCAGAGACCAGGTCACCCTCCGTGTGCCAGTTGCACACACCTGTAGGTTGTGTTTTCCTGCTTTTCTAAGAATCCGGGTGACTGGCTTCAGAGAGCGCCAGGCTATGAACTGCCTAGTGACTCAGTGGGATGAAGTAAGCACAAAAAGAGTTAATACTCAATAAAAATGGGCCACAAATCTGTGACATATTTGACACAGCAAACAACACGTAGGCTGTGCAAAGCTGTGGGTGCACCCCACATGCCCGAACAGGAATCAGTGTGTGATCAGCCTTGCAGCCAGTGAACATGAAAACGACCTGTTTTCCCATGGTGTCAGCTCTTTATGTAACAGCATTTTGCTCTTCACAGGAGCACAATAATATCTTTGGTTTTTTTCCACTCTAGCCTGGTTCAGTGAAGGGTGAGCTGATACGGCCATTGGAGGTAGAATATGCCGATACCCACCTTTGGTCTGCAAAGCCGTCTGAGTAGGACCTTAGAAAAAAAGTGACCAGCAGACTGCCTAGTTCACAGCGCTTGCATCACCATCGGATCTCAAAGCAACCAGCAAAGGTGGCTAACCCCACCCAAAGAGCAGGAGAAACCCAAACTGGGTATGCTCTGCACAGATCAAAGATTTGTTGCAGGGGCAACATTTACAGCTCGTCTGTTTGTGAAAGGCTCCTCAGCACCTCACTCTTGGGAGGGCAAAGAAATATTTCTATAGTGCAGCCAAGCACAGAGGCAGAGAAAGATGTTGTCACTGGGTGGGCGCTGATCCCGCCAAGGTAAGGAGGGCATGGGATGGCACTGGTTTGGGCAAACATGCAGCCCCAGAAATGGTGGCAGAAGCACTGGGGTGTAGCCTGAAGCGAAATTTAGACCTGGTACACCTGGAGTGGTCCAATCTTCTCACATCACATTTGTGGCAATGGGCTGTATGGCTGGGCTAAGCAAGCGTCCCTGGAATGGTGATGTTTTGCAGAGGCTGAGAACATGGGCCAGAGTGGTTTTAGAGCTGCTGGGGGTTAGTGCTCCTTGTATCTTGCAATCTCCCTCCTACATGTTTAGCACCTTGTATGGTAAACCCAGCTGTGCTGCCTTTAAAACCACATCCTGGAGGGTAAGCGCAGCAATCCGAAGCATGAAACTTGCTGGGTGTTCATCCCCCCAAGCTGAAACTCAAGGGTTAAACCACCCCCAGTGCCAATCGCTGCTGCTGTTTCCTTTCTTCAGAGCTGTTGCTCTGCAGAGCAACAGAAACATGGCTCGCTCAGCCAGTGTTAGACCAGAAAAGTTCCCAGGCATCACAGCATCTCTTGGGCCCTGCTCCTTAAGTTACTACCTGCCTCATTGCTGCTGCTTTGGAAACCGCAGCTTTTAAAATCAGGCAGACTTAAAACCTGTATGTTGAGTGCATGGGACCTCAGCTATTTTGCTTGCCCGTGGACAGCAGCCCGAGACCGACCTCCCAGCTGCTGTTGACCCTGCGCTGCTCTCAGGCCCTGCTCTCCTCGGCACGGCAGTGTGTGTTTGTACGTGTACTTGTCTGCCCCCATCCTGGTAGCACAGACCCACAGAAGCTCTCACTGTCTCGGGCTACTCCGGACCTCAGAACTCCCCTTACCAAAAAATGTTTTTCTTTAACAGAGAGAAAAACACAGGTGAACTCTCTTCCAATGCATACATGGGGGTGCTCTCTCCCATTTTATTAATATATTAAAGTTTTTATGTGTGTATAAAAAAGTTAAAACAGATCTTTACCAGCGGCAAAGCAGCTCACCGTCTTCCTAACAGAACCCGGGCAGAACTCAGGTTACAGAGCTGAAATGGGGAGAGAAAGGGCAGCAGCAAAGGACAGATCACAAGAATCTCAAAGAGCAATAGCTCTGGAAAATGAAACGCGGCCCGCAGATGTACTTGGACGCCCCTTAGGGTACAACACACTCAAAGAAATGTGTTTATCCTAGACTACACTGTAGAATGTCAGTACAATGGAGTCCATGAAGTCTCTGGGATGAGAAGGACAGCCTAGCAAAAGGGTTTGATGCTCTCTTGGATTTTGTAGGTCCTGGCTTTTATCTCTGTGGTCTCAATGCATTCATTTAAATTCCAGTGAACAAGCTGTTTCAGAGCAGAATGCTGGTCCTGAGGCTGAGCCAAAGGGTCTCACTTCCAGTCTAGGAACCATGAAAATTCCCACTGTGCTGTCTCAGTCAGACTGCAAAGCTGACAGTCGTTGCTAGACTGGGTTTCAAGTCGTAGCTGAAATATCTAAGACCCCACTATTGAATAGTAATGAAGACCTAACGCTCAGCCAAGCACTTCGGTTTCCTAACAGGAGGCTTTCAGATGGCTTGGGAAGGTACCAAATCCCCGTGAGGCTGTTTGTGCTGCAGGTCTGAAACATAAAGGTCGCTGGACGCAAAGTGGTACTCAGCCCCACTCATTTCTTACAGAAGAAGGGCTGGGGGATGGACAGGTCAGTCTGCGTGTGCTCGTAGCAGTGCTTCTCTTTTTTTTAAAGGAAAACTGGTCTTTTTAACTGAAGTACTTTCACTCAAAGCAGTGGCTTCTCTATGGAAATGTACCATTTAGCTTTTAATGTACTGACTGCTTCTGTCTCTTTTGTTACAGTCCTGGGCAGCACAACTAAGATAGGCTCTGACCACGAGCGCAGGACGAGGTCAGGTGCCAGTCATTCCGAGCAGGACCCGCTCTTTGCCCACTAGCTACTCAGGGAGGCACAAGGAGCAAGCAGAGGTGCTCAGGGCAGAAATTAAATGGGAGCGAAAACCAGAGCACGCAACTGGAGCAGCGAGAAAAGTGTGAGCAAAAAGGAGGCCAGGAACCACAAGGGAAGCTGCAGTCCTTTAATGTGAAGGAAGACTTCTCTTGCCAACATGCCCGTTTGATTGTTTTTCCGAACGTTAAACCGAAGGTGGAAGGAACACATCAGGATGGGACAGCAGAGCAGGGTGCCTGTCCTGTGCAGCCGCCTGGCTTACTCCAAGACGTCTGGGCTTCAGCAGGTCGGCAGAGACCCGGTACCAAGCTGGGCAGAAGCACGTAGCCCCTCTGTTGCTGTTTGCCAGCCTGTCATCTGTGGGAATTTCAGAAGCCCCTGGATTCCAGGCCCGCATACACTTCCCGCTGGCCTTTCCGGATGGGCTGTGGGAACAGCAGAGATGTTAGTGCAGGAACCCGTATTCACACACCATCAAACAACGCCAGAGTCTTGGTCCACACAATACATGGAGAAAACCATGACAGAGCGAGCAGATGTAGTGCTGCTCTGGTAGCATGCACAAGAAGCTGCAGTTCTTCTCCCAGCTGCCTGTCTTAGCACCGGGAGAAGAGGGTCCACCCTCTTCCTGCACTCCCAGGAAAGCCTGGAGGTTGACTGGATGCTTCTTCAAATGCTGCAGGTTCCAAGCTCTGTCTATCCCTCCCCAACCAGCAAAGAGAGATGGAAAAAATGCGGGTCCTCCATACCTCATAGTCCGGGTTTGGAACAGGGGGAGGACGCTGCATCTTCTGACCTGCAACAGAGGCGAAGAGAGGTCATCCTTGGTGATGATTCATACAACATAGCACAAGTGACTTCCACGGAGATGACCCCAGGGTAATGTGTACTGTCTCAACTCACACGGCTTTATTATGAGCTCGAAGCTTTTAAAGATGCAAGTGCTGCAGGCAGGAGGACTTATGATCATTTAGGAGGAAATCAGCTTGCTTTCAAAAAGAGTGAGTTTCTAGCTTTGCTGTTTGTGAAGAAACACTTGAAAACAAGAAGGCTTCATAAGCACAGGCCCAGGCTACAGCTCCGTAGTATGGGTACCACATCGCCTCTGCCTCAGCAAGCTGCACAGGCATGAGCACAGCCTCACATTTCTGTGGAGCCCAGCACACAACATGCACGATAAACACACAGTGGGGAATTTAGACCTGCTGAAAGAGTTACATCAGCTCCATGGAGGCTAGGGGAGAAGTGGCCATGCCTGATCTGTGCAAAGTCTGGCTGGTGAGCACCCATGGTACTTGTCTGACAGGCAGTTTCCTGGCACAAATGTCATCTGAACAAATCTGAACTGACGTCATGAGGTCACCACCCTACATCACTTTCCCTCCGCATTTATAACATTAGCCCCACTGCTGGACCCGCTGGGTCACCAAGCCATGGCCTCAGAAGCCAGAAATGCAAATGTATAGTTTTAATAACACCACGATTTCTAATCACATCTTCTGTGTGCGGGCCTAATTCTTGGTCTTTGATTGCCTGAGACTGCAGCTGAGTGGGCCAGGGCCAGGCTGGGTTTGCAGCTCTGCTTGCAAGCTGAGCCTCCACCGTACAGCATTTGCTTCAGCGCAGACTCCACGCTGCCGCACAACAGCCTGTGAAATGGTTTCCTATGGGCAGGAAGCCTTTAACACAACACGGCAGCCGCACCCGTCCCATACAAGAAGGCAGCCCAGAGCAACAGATGGGGCAAGCTGGAGCATTGTTTGTGAATTCTTGGAGGCTTGGGGGGAACAGAGCAGGCTCCTTCACTCGGCAGGGCAAGTGCTTAATTTAGTGCTTGGCAGACGTCATGGAGAGCAGAGACACCTGAAATGGCTCTTACCTCGTGGTCGACTGCCAGCACCAGTGCTCGCTCTCCCCTTCCTGTCTTTGCTGAAGTAATAGACCAGAATCAACACCCCGAAGGTGATGAGAAGATCTGCAGTGATGATCCCCGTCACTGCCAGGGTATCCAGCTCCTCACAGTTTGCACACACTGCCAGGAGAAGAGATGAAGGCGCTCAGAGATGGGCACCCTTCCTTCCCAGCAAGGAAAGCCCAGGCCTCGCTCATCTGCTTAGTGCTAGCAGAAAAGATACAGTTCTGGGTGGGAAGGAGAAAAGAGCAAACCGAAAGGAAGGGGGACAGCGCAGGACATTCTATCCACCCCACCATGTTGGTCTGCAGACAGACACAGACCAGGGGCTGGTGTATGCAACCTCCTTTGCTACCTTCTGCTGTTTGCATGGCCTGAGCCGGAGGGTGCAAAACATCTCCTCGATCACAGCCTCCTCTCTCTGCCTGTGCTGGACTCTACGCTCTGAATGCAGAGCAGCTGCCCGAATTTCGAACGGCTCAGAGGCTTCAATCACTCCAGGTAAACTCCGCCTGGTTGATGGGTCAGTGAGACCAGGCTGTGTGCTGCAGATGGGAGGTTTCCACTCCACAAGATAAGAAATGCCTCTGGCCTTTGCGACAGACATTACTCTTGCCTTGTAGCATGGCAGAAGCTGTATAAAAAAAGATCGCGCGCTGTGTATGTGGGAACCATTGACATGCAACCAGCTTGAGTTCAGCTGAAGGGAAAAGCAGAGAGCAGCATAATTCCTTTAGCCAAAAAGGTGCTCTTGGGCCCTTACTGCCCACACAGAGCGGGAAGGGCCTCAGCAGAATCGCATTCACCCAGCCCAGCAGCACGGAAAATCAGGTCTCGGCTCCTAATATCTGTCACTGAAATATGTCGACTTCATCTTTAGCCCGCAGACTGAGTGCCTTTTGACTCACCTCTGGCATTCAGGTACATCGCATGCTTCTTATCACCTGATGAACAACTCACGTTGACAGGAGAGCTGTCATGGTTGTCTATAACATGCTGCTTCTTACCGCTGACTCTTGTCCCAGTTAACTGCCACTCTATTCTGTCTTCAGTGATGGGACACGTGATTGTCACCGTGGTTCCGGAAATCTCCACCAGGAATTCTTTATTGGAAGGCGGGCCAACAAGAAGGGGAACCAGCATTACAAACAGCTTCTGGGCAGGCTTCGCTGCCCACCCCTGAGCCCACCATGACAGCTTGCGCTGCAAAATCTTAGTTTTTATGGTGTAATGTAAATTCCCTGGGTATGTGTCTTCCGCATACATGTTTCCCGTTAGTCTTTTTACACTGATTCTTTGCAACACTAAACAGCATGAAAATACCATCGCAGAGTGTTCAACTTTATGTCAAAGAGCTTGGCCACCTGCCAGTCATCGTTCTGTTTATCCATGTGCGTGCTGCTAGCTGCAAGGGGCCAGCCTTGCTTGGAGACTACTAACAGTAATTGGGGGCAACTCATTATAGCTGGTGTTTCTGATTGGTGATGACAGTAGCAACTAACAAACAGGAATTTTTTTCCTCCTAAAATACTGTTTGAACTCAAACATTTCCATCTGCCTTGTACTCCACATCTGTGAGGCATGTTCAGTCTTTATATTACGCTAAATAGTTAAGAATGCTGGTAAAAGACACTTACCCTGCTGTGCTTCGGTATCGTCTGCAAAGGAGAGAGTAATAAGTGTTAACAAATCAGCCCGCTGATACCTTACTGCTTGTTGCTGTTGAAACATGCCCAACCATGCTTGGGGATCACTAGCAATAATTAGGGACAATTCATGACAGCCAGTTTTTCAAATCGGTACGATCAGTAAAAATTCATGAGCAGGGAATTTTTCCTATTCTACAATGTTTGCAAAATTCAAGTATTTCTATTTGACTTTTAGTGCTCGCTTGTGAGGCACAATTGGTCTTTCTATGGTAAGAAATAGTTAAGAATGCTGGTAAAAGACACTTACCCTGCTGAGCAGCGGTGCCAACTACAAAAGAAAGAATAATACGTGTTAAGTAATTTAGCTACTGGTATCATACACCTTTCTTACTTCAAGGATACCCTTTCTGAACTCAGCTGCTTGAAAGAGATGTTTATACTCCTGTATTTGTGCTAAAGGCATTAGAAGCGTTCTGCTAGCTGAGACCGGATGTTGTTTTGAAACAAAGTCTTTTCCTTTGGAAGCCGTTTTTGACACAGACTAACGCAGAATGGAAACGTGAAGAATTTTCGACCCAGTTTAGAGAAAGGGTTATTGCAAGCTGTACACCAACCAATTTTGCTTCATTATCGGGGGCCAAAGACTGCCAGAAAATCATTCCTGGTTTCTGCAGCGAGAACCACTGTCCTCTGCAAGAGTGTACTCACTGGAGGATTGGACCTCGACGCTTGATTTAACACTGTAAAGCAGATTATCTATGTGATTTTTCTCTCTTGGTGGCAACCAAGTAGCTCCACTGAAGTCTCTGGAACCAGAGTATTACAGAAACAGTTTTTAGGAGGTCTGAATCAGACACGAGATTTGCTTTAAAAGCATTTGTTGATAGAACGTAACATAAGTAAATAAAAGAGTGACCTGTATTCACGTATTCAGCGCTGTTGTCTCATCCCAGGTAATGATTGTTTCACAATAGGAGTTACTTGCAACAAAATTGTGGTTTTGAAGTTCCATAGGAATAGGACTTGGCTGGAGAGAAGGTGAGCTGATGCTTTTTTCTCTATATAAGATGAATTTAAATTTGAAAAAAGCACAGGCATTGCTAAACCAAATGTTTTCAGTCTTCTCAAAGAATAGCAGTTGGTATTTGCAGCACATGGGCAGAGTAGCTGTAGTCTTATTGTAGTATCTTTTAATTGCCTTTCAGACTTATCTCTCATAGTTACCAGCTTCTTTACAGTCTTTACAGATACTCTGCTCTTCATCCTAAACCAGATTTCTAAATGCTGCTCAGTTCAAGCCAGTAACATGGAAATTGCTACCACTCCCATGATATCACAGTGAATCTGAACTGAAGTTATTTACCCATGATCACAAAACAGTTTAAGAAAAGTGCACGAATAAAGCGTAAAATTAAATTTAAAGCCATAGAACCTTATAGTTCACACTGCTGCAGAAAGCAGTGCATCAAGCTCCAACCCTGCTGCATGAAGTTTGGAGACCAGGTGTCTCAGCAAGTCAGCTAGCAAGCAAAAATTCACTAGGGACTCCAGGTTCTTTTCTCTAGCCTGAGAGGGCTGGATTCCCGTTTCTCTGTCCCTGCAGTCTGAAGGGAACCCTCACTCCAGAGAGCACCAGCTCCATAGGTGCTGCACGTGCTGCTTGCAGAAGACGTTGCTGCAGGTACTTGGCGAACTCAGCCGCACGCTCATGTGCTTTCTCCTCCGCAACCCCCAGGCAGCCACCCCCTGGTCCCCGCAGGCTTCTGGCCAGCTGTACTCACCTGCACACAGCAGGAGCCCCAGGAGCGGCAAGGACCGCTCCAGCCTCATCCTCGTGGTCCTCCTGCTCTTGCAGGAACACATCGGCTTTTCGAGTTCTTGTTTACAAGAAAGAGGCCCAAGATTTTTTCTCAGAACTGTGTACGGCAACGAACTGAGCAGTGCTGGGGAGACTCACTGTTTCCAGCGAAACCTGCAAGCAGCCAAGAAAGACGCAGAACACGTACGATAAAGTGAGCCCATGTCAGGAAGTGCGGAGGCTCAAAACGTCTCCACGGAACGTCATTGAGAGCAAGGGGTGGCCACTCTGCACCAGCCCAGTTCAAGCCTCGGGAGACCTGTTGTAACTGCCCTAGGAGCAGCAGGAGAGGTAAACGAGCCTGGATTAGATTTGCCATCAGGACCTTGCTAGCAGCTTTTCAGAGTGTTTCTGAAGTTCAAACTACTGCAAGCAACTTAACATAGTGAGGGAACGACAAAGGAAGCAGAAATGCTGCAAGAAGCTGAGCACTCAGAGACACTGTATGGCCAGCAGAAAGGAGCCTGCAAGTGCCAGGCTGTAAAACCTGGGGGCTTTAGTCAGTGGTGATCTGGCAACCTGGACTCTGCTTGGGCTGTTCTCCTCTGACACCACCCGTTCATTCCTG